ATGCTACCTTGAAGAATAACAAGGAAGCTGCAAGCCACTGCATAACATGAATGAACCTTGAGGACATTATGCTGAGTGAAATTGTTGTTGTAGTTCTTAGGTGCCATCGAGTCAGTACTGACTCATAGTGACCCTACGCACAACAGAATGAAACAATGCCCAGTCCTGGGCCAACCTCACAATTGTTGCCACGCTTGAGCCCAGTGATGCTGCCACTTGGCCAATCCATCTCACTGGGGGTCTTCCTCTCTTTCTCTGTCCCTCCACCATACCAAACATGATATCCTTCTCCAGCAACTTGTCCCTCCTGACAATATGTCCAAAGTATGAGAGACAAAGTTTGGCCATCCTGGTCTCCAAAGAGCACCCTGATTGCACTTCTTCCAACACAGATCTATTTGTTCTTCTGACAGACCATCATACTTTCAGTGTTCTCCTCCAACATCACAACTCAAATGCATCAATTCTTCTATGGTATTCCTTATTCACTGTCCAACTTTCGCATGCATATGCTAGATGGAAGGAGCTCTGGTATGTAGTGGTAACGAATCGGGCTGCGAACCCTCAGGGACAGCAGTTTGAAACTACCAGCTGTTCCGTGGGAGAAAGATGAGGCTTTCTGCTCCTGTAAAGATTTACAGCCTCAGAAACCCTTACAGGGTTGCTATGAGTGGGAACCGACTCCATGGCACAAAACAACAGCAACAATGTGCTAGATGGGGTTTAGTAAGATCCCCAAGAATCATTCTGATGCTCATGATTTTGACTTGTAAGCATTCCTTTGCCCTTTCCAAAATTCCATTTAGAAACCTTTTTGGCACAAGTGAGATGCAGTCTACTTAAAAAATACCCTTTGCCCTTCATCTAAACCTTTTTCTATTTGCCTCAGAAATTGATCCACGTAGCACATCTAACTGCTTTCTCTTAGAACTCTCACATTCCTGACTTGTGCAGGACATTCCTGAGAGGGCCTCCAGTATCCACAGGATTTGTCTCCATGTCCTGAGCTTGTCAATGAGATGAGTCTGGTTCCTGTTCTTTTGCCTCATCTCCCTCTGCCCTCCATAAACCTTCCATGTCAGCACCTTAATGTCTATATGACTAAATATTACCCCCGGTGATTATTTCCACTGCAGTAGCTGATCTTCCTCCCCTCCTCCAGGCCTCTTCATAATCTTGATGTAAAATGCCACTGAGTTGATTTTGACTCCTGTCTATCCTGTATAGAGTTTCTGATGAGTTGCTGCTGGATTTGAACCACCAGCTTTATTGTTAGCAATCCAGTGCTTATCCTACAGCATCACATAAGGACTGCAAGCAAAGGATTATTTCCTTAGTGGAATGCGATGCCACCATTTATAGCGGTGATTTTGAACACTGTACAGCAATAGGCCACATATTTATGATTTTAATGCAGTTAATAAAAGTAAAATGTAATATTTCTTTAGTGCTATAAATTTACCTACATTATACCTGTGTGTGTGTGTGTGTGTGTGTGTGTGTGTGTGTGTGAATAAGACTTTTAGAGGGTCCGGAAGAATGAATATAATTTGCTTTGTTAGGATGTTGTGTCCCCTATAGTCTGATTTCTGTTGGGGTCATTATTGTCTGACTGCTCACTAGAGGGCATCACACGGGCAGGAATTGGGTCTATCTGGTCTATCTCCCAAGGGCCTAGGACTGTGCTTGCTCCATATAGTAAGCAAGCAATCAGTAAACATTTGTTATAATAACGATTGTGGTATGCTAGCGGTTCTCATATTCAAAATCATTTGGAGGGTTTGTTAACACCAGTTGTTAAACCTCACCCCCAGGGTTTCTCACTTAATTATCTTACTGAAGCCCATGAATTTATACTTCAACTACATTCCCAGGTGATGTTAATAACACTGGCCCAGCACCACATTGAGAGCCACTGCTATAAGATTGCAATCCAATGTTACTATAACTATTATGGTTGTAATTTTCATTTTCTCTTTCCTCAACAGCTTCTAAATACATCTTGCTAGGTAAAGCCCAGCTGTACTTAACAGTCAACAGAGGCCCCCAGGATGTAGCTTGTCAGGTACAGCCCCACCATGGTCAGGAGGCACACACCATCTTCAGTGTTTTCTGCATGTCAGGAAAACCGGTACGTATTAGCCACCTCCTATCTGGTAGC